TTTAAAGACTATTTTAAAGCCTCCAAGAAGGCGTGGATTTTTTAAAGACTATTTTAAAGCCTCCAAGAAGGCGTGGATTTTTTAAAGACTATTTTAAAGCCTCCAAGAAGGCGTGGATTTTTTAAAGACTATTTTAAAGCCTCCAAGAAGGCGTGGATTTTTTAAAGACTATTTTAAAGCCTCCAAGAAGGCGTGGATTTTTTAAAGACTATTTTAAAGCCTCCAAGAAGGCGTGGATTTTTAAAGTATTTTATGAAGATTATTTTAAAGCCTCCAAGAAGGCGTGGATCTTTTAAACATTTTTTAAGCCTTCAAGAAGGAAGAGGGTCGAATTTTGAAATCCTACAAATTTGCCACAGAAGAAACAACAAGACAATTATTCGGTGAACAGTTTTTTTATACAATGGGTCAAATTCGACCCATCTGCGATTTTGAATAAATATCAAAGAAAATATTGGACATTTTTATAGTTTACTCCCAATTTCCACGCCTCCTTCGAACCACTTAAATGAATTCACTCAAACCTCTTCAACAAAAGTCCATACAAGTACCCTGCTCATACAAACACACACGAACATATGAATATACACATACATTTATAAATGTCATTTAAGAATTGAGAGCTTTGCTTTTTTGCTAGAGTACATGATATTGCTGCTGTTGCCTTTGTTGCTGGTGGTGGCGTTTTTAAAACAACGAAAATTAGATTTATTTATAATGGAATTTTAGGTTCTCAATATTGTTGTGAGGGGTGGTATTCTATATACCCATTTGCCTTTCACTTCTATTACAAGCTAGCAATGAGTGTGGAAAATTCTCTAGACTCACAGCATCCTTGTCATCACACTAACACATCTTTCATGTCATTTACAGTTGACACCTCTTACTCCCCCACACCCCTCCTCTCTCTTCCTTACCCATTATTCTTACCATGGTCTGGCCTTCAATAGAATTATATGGACATGCTAATAATAATAATGTGATTTAAAAATAGCATAAAACTTAATTGTTGTTGTTGTCTTTGGCCGACTTCAGTATGCAAAGAGAAGAGAAGTGATGTCATAAAGTGATGGTGGTGGTGTTGAAAATGTCAAAAGTATTACCACGTTATGGTGTTTGAATGGGTGGGGAGTGGGTGCTTGTATGTGAACCGCCTAATAACTTTTCATTTTTTTTCAAATCGGATATTTAAGGAAATTACTTTGTCAAACGCATATGTCCTGCAACGTTTGGCCAAGAGGCTATTCGTAATTTTTCTATGCTGGTATTTGTTGTTGTTGACACGCATAATTGTTCGAGTGACTAATTGAGTTAAATTCGTAAGGGCTAAGGTGTTTGAAATCATCAAAATGCTCATAATTGGGGCTATATTAAAAAGTGGACATTTTGGCAGGAGTATTTGGCGCCCAATTAAAGCCCAAAATATCAAATTAAAGCCATTAGGCTTTAAAACCATGCTCAACATCACAAAAATACCAAAGAAGTGGACCGATATGGATAACTTTTAGTTGGAAGATTTGCTACCTCATGAAAATCAAATACATAAACTTATGCCGCTCTGTTCAAATTTAATCTCAATCAAGCACCCGTTCGAAATATGTGTGGAAGCTATGTCTGCACCTGCACCAATTTAAAAAAAACGCAAACGTCATTCTAGTCTCAAATTGATACGAACAAACAAAAGGAGTTTGGAACACCTCGGACGAAAATATATGGAAGCTATTTATAAATCTGAACCGATTTTCACGAAACTTAACACACATAATTCTAGGCGTTATGCCAAATTTCGTGCAAATCGAAAGATATGTAGGGACTTTGGACCCCATTTACACTAAATCGGACGAAAATATATATGGGAGCTATATTTAAAACTGAATCGATTTCAACAAAACTTCACAGACATCAATCTGGACCTAATTCAGTACTCTGTGCAAAGTTTTGTCTCAATCGAACCAATATTGACAGTATTGTGCTCCCATTTTATATATGGGAGCTATATCTAAATCTGAACCGATTTCAACAAACCGTGGCTTATATCAATCCAGACCTAATTCAGTACTCTGTGAAAAATGTTGTCTCAATCGGACCAATATTGGCAGTATTGTGCTCCATGGGAGCTATATCTAAATCTGAACCGATTTCAACAAAACTGCCGCTAATTCAGTACTCTGTGCAAAATTTTGTCTCAATCGAACAAATATTGGGAGTTTGGTGCACCATTTACATAAAATCGCACGAAACTATATATGAGAGCTATATCTAAATTTAAACCGATTTTCTGCAATTTCAGTAGGATTACGTCGACTCTTTATTTCGGTTTGGTTACAATCACTTTTAAATAAAAAATAATATTTATGGCGGTACCAAGGTACCGTTGACTACCTCGATGCTGTAGTTCTCAAGTTCCATAGTTGGTTCGAGTCTACAGGAAGTCTTGCACGTTGATACCATCAGCTTGGTCTTCTCGCCATTTACTGCCAGCCACACTTTGACAGACTCCTTCTCAATTTATTCAAAGGTGACTGTTACCGCTCGCAATGTTCGACCCATTATATCGATGTCATCGGCGTAGGCGAGTAACATATGTTGTTTGGTGTACAGACTGTCATTTCTGTTCACCTTTGCATCTCGTTTGACCTTTTCCTGCCGGATATTAAAACGATCACACGACAAACTGAATCCTCGTTCGGTATTAAATGGCTCCGATATGTACTTTCCGACTTTAACTGCTGACCTTATGCCAGTTAAAATTATCCTACATACTCGTATTTATTTTGCAGAAATGCCAAACGCAGGAATGGTTTTAAACACTCCTGAATTGAAAGGGCTGTCGAATGCGGTTTTACGACGAATATATGGAATGTGTCCATATGTTTTTCGTGCATGTTCTCCAGGATTTGGCACATAGAGAAATCTGGTCTATAGTGGTTTTGACTGGTGTGGGGCTACATTGGTATGGTCCAATAGTGTCGGCTGGTAACCCATCGGCTCCTGCTGCTTTATTATTTTTCAGTAGATTGATTGCTATTCTGACCTTGTCATCTCTTATTGGTTCTGAGGTATCTTCTTCACCGCCACTCTTTGATACCAGAAGTTTTTCAAAATGCTCTTTCCAGATTCCCAACACGCTGTCTGTATCTGTCACCAGGTTTCCTTTTTCATCTCCACAGGAGGATGCGCCTGTACCAAAAAAAATTCCGGACTTCGTTCTGACTCGTACATTTTGATTTGCCCCCGCTAACGCTTTTCTTGTTCTTTCTTCTTTTTTCTGAAAATACGTTTCGCCTCTCTTCTTTTCTCCCGATAATTCTCTCTCGCATTACGTGTTGCAATTGTCTGCAGGGGTCTTTATTCCACATTTAAAATCACTTTTAAATAAAGGAACACGACGGCCCTTTATTTCGACATGGTTAACCAGTAAGGAAAGTAGTAAAGTCGGACGGGACCGACTATATGATACCCTTCACCACTATGGGTATATTAAACAGGACTATTAGCATGAAATTGGATGAAATAAAACATGTGATATTTATTTAAATGCGAATATACCTAGATCTATCCATAAAGTATGTAAATCGACTTCAAACAAATATAAATAGGTCATCCGTAGGGCTATGTCTGTACTTCTAGAAAACGCAACTATATAATTTTATGCTCAATTTTGTACGATGTGCAAACTTTGATGTCAATCTGTCTAACATGAGGAGTTTGATGCCCAATTTACTTGAAATCGGGCGAAAATATATATGGTGCGTCAATTACTTAAAATTAATCTATAATAAAAGGGGCTATATCTATCTAAATCTGGACCGATTTTCACGAAACTTGGCAGACACCATTCTAGACCTAAATGATTAGGCTGTACCAAATTTCGTGCAAATCAAAAGATATATAGGGACTTTGGGGCACCATTTACATGAAATCGGACGAACCTATATATGGGAGCTATATCTAAATCTGGACCGGTTTTCTCGAAACTTGGCAGACATCACTCTAGGCTTAATTCCGTACGTTATGCCAAATTTCGTGCAAATTAAAAGATATATAGGGACTTTGGGGCACCATTTACATGAAATCGGACGAAACTATATATGGGAGCAATATCTAAATCTGGACTGATTTTTACTAAACTTGGCAGACATCATTCTAGACTTAAATGATTAGGCTGTACCAAATTTCGTGCAAATCGAAAGATATATAGGGACCGTTTACATTAAATCGGTTAAATATATATATGGGAGCTATATCTAAATCTGAACCGATTTTTCCCAATTTCAATAGGGTTCGTCCTTGGGCCGAATAAGTGACCTATGCCAAATTTCATCCAATTCGGATCATAAATGCGACCTGTACTTTGTTTACAATTTAACATGGACAGACAAACAGACGGACGGACGGACATGCATAAATCGACTTAGAAAGTGATTCTATGTATATTCTCAAAAGGAACCATGGGTCTATCTCGATTATTTTTGCCTGTTACAAACATATGCACAAAGGCATAATACCCTGTACCACAGTGTGGTGAAGGGTATAAAAATCACTTTTAATTAAAGGACCACGACAGCTCTGCACTTGATAATCATAGGCTCTTTAATTCCACATACTACCACGACCCTATAAGTCTGGTAGGTTCCTGGTAGGTTGCCCGATCTTCACTGATTCATTACGAGTTAGGATTGTCTCTTCCTTTTATATCCTCGGCCGAACATTACAGGATGCTTTTCGACGTCTTCCCGGCATCACACCACTGCTACCGCGTCTACAATGTGACCTCTCTGTTAACGGGAACTTGTTTACGAACATAATGTCAAGTTTAACGATAACATGTTACATCTTCATTAGAATCTGATTATCAACTAAATATTTTGGGCACAACTGTACTATTTTACTCAGTTCCTCTATTAGAACTCAGTCTGTGAAATTCTAATCTAAGACATCGAAGGATTGGTTAAAGTTCTCCATCTTAATCCTAACATTTTTGTACTTCTTTATTTCAGGCGCATTTCTGGTACCTTATTGCATTATGTTATTAGTTGGTGGTATACCACTTTTTTACATGGAATTAGCTTTAGGTCAACACAATCGTAAGGGTGCGATAACATGTTGGGGTCGTTTGGTGCCATTATTTAAAGGTAAGCCTCAGATTTTTACTATAAAATGCAAAGAAATTAAGCAATTCTTAACAATCCCTACCATTTTCCAGGAATCGGTTATGCAGTGGTTCTAATAGCATTCTATGTAGATTTTTATTACAATGTTATTATTGCCTGGTCGTTGCGTTTCTTTTTCGCCTCATTTACGAATGCATTGCCATGGACATCGTGTACAAATTTCTGGAATACAGATGATTGTAGACCGGTGAGTAATATTCCCGAAAAATGAATAAGACGTAATAAAATACATGAGTACTTATCGGAAATAATATTTTGTTTCTTTTAACTTATAGTTCGAACAAGCCAGTACCCCAGCCCTGTTGGGCGCCAACGTTAGCGATAGTTTGCTTAATTCAACAATTACCTCCGAATTCAATACAACACTGGCCAATCTTACTTTAGCATTATCCACCACAACACCGGCCAGTGAACGTTTCCAGTCGGCCGCTTCAGAATATTTTAAGTAAGTTCCGTAAAACAGACCACAATTTTTGGTGAAATATTAATAATTTCCCCATACTTTGCAGCCGCTACATTTTAGAACTAAATCAAAGTGATGGCCTCCATAATTTGGGTTCAATAAAATGGGATTTGGTAATTTGCCTGCTGATAGTCTATTTAATATGTTATTTCTCGCTGTGGAAGGGTATTGGCACCTCAGGCAAAGTGGTGTGGTTCACCGCCCTTTTTCCATACGTTGTGCTTTTGATTCTACTAATTCGCGGTATTACCTTACCCGGTTCAGCAATGGGTATACAATATTATCTGAATCCTAATTTCGATGCCATTTATAAGGCAGAAGTTTGGGTAGATGCTGCCACTCAAGTGTTCTTTTCACTGGGTCCGGGTTTTGGAGTGTTATTGGCATACGCTTCCTATAATAAATATCATAATAATGTTTATAAGTGAGTATTAATTTCTTTTTTTTTTATTAATTTTTGAAAATACTGATTTCAATTTTGATATTTTCTTTTAGGGATGCCCTCCTCACCAGTTGTATTAATTCGGCCACAAGTTTTATTGCCGGTTTTGTGATATTTTCCGTATTGGGTTATATGGCTCATACATCGGGTCAAAATATTGAAGATGTTGCCACAGAAGGTCCAGGCTTGGTGTTTGTTGTATATCCTGCAGCCATTGCCACAATGCCGGGCAGTACTTTCTGGGCATTGATATTCTTTATGATGCTCTTAACTTTGGGTTTGGATAGTTCGGTAAGTACAATAAAAAAAATTAAATTCCAATTGGGCTTGAATAAATGTCATATCGATATTTGCAATACGTGGAACGTATATATACCGCCAGTTAATAGCTGTGAACCGCGTAATCTGTCTAATATCAATTTCGCTTTCGGGATTCAATGCAAACCATGCTACCTTTCACCACCTATTAATAATCGGATCTATCAGCAGATCGACGAATTTCATTCACCGCACTTTTCTTAACCAGCGCATTCGATAACTTCTCATTCTGTTCGGGTAGCAGAAAGAAAATTCCGAGACATCATTAAAGCTGTAGTCGCAAGGCTTATACCTAATAGTCGAATGCCCCATATGAGATCTAAATTCCCACAAAATTTATCGCGGAGTAACAAGTTTTAGGCGATTTCAATGTTTACCTTGATGATGACCTACCAGAATAAAGAGAAAGCCTTACATTTCGCCTGACAACTGACGTAATCTGGGAGTCCGCTATTTCTCTTAAAGCGTCTTCTACTATTTCTGATCTCATTCATTAGCACTTATTTTATCACGTCAGAAGGTCGGACTTTCCTTACCCATAAGAAACCCAACTGGCAGTGATTCAGAGAGTTCACAAAACCATCACTTTCAATTTCTTTCGATGTTCGGGTAGCTGAAAAAACACGAGATCTCAAGGTACACCATGATGATTACATATCAGAATAGAGGGACAGCCTTTCAGTTCGCCAGATAGATCCATCGTATCATTGTCCCAGCTATTTCTTATCAGCAGATCGCCTTATTTAATCACGTCAGAAGAATGTCCTAACCCATAGGAAAATTAACTGGCATCATAACATCACTTCGAATTCATTTCGATGTTCGGATAAAATGCTAACAAGAAATATTAGGAAGAAGGTGGGAATAGTTCCGATGGCTATAGAAATTGGACAGAAAAAATATTACATGCTAAGTTTGCACTTTCCTAGCCACTTTAGATTTCTAATGACGCTGTAGATCAAAGCAGGTTCAATAGTTGAAAATAAGCTTAGAGAGGTGGAAAGTTAGCAACCACTAATCTGTGTCGTCTGTTGGCCAGAACTTGATATGATGTCACGGAGTTCAGGTACCCAACACAGCCGATAGCTGTAAGTGAGTGCTTCCAAAACTTTTCTACACTCTAGGACGACCTCAGATTTAATACTACAGGATTTGATGGCTTTAAGATCCGCCTGACTATCCACAAAAATAGTTCAACGATCTCTCCTTCCAAATACCGAAGACTTCAGCTTGGAAAACACTACAGTTCAAGACCTAGCCTTTCACAGTACCTTCTTCCATCTTTGATCCGTTTGTATAAAAAGCCAGACCGTCCAGAGGAGGGTTGCTAGGGTTCCAGTCGTCTCTACTAGGGATAACAACATCTATATTAAATCAAATCTACGACTTCACCAAACATCACTTCTAATTCCTTTTGATTTTCGGGTAGCTTAAAAGAAACTCTGAGACATCGTTACAGCTTCAGCCGCTTGGATACCCTAGATGAGATCTAATTTCGCACAAAACCTGAGCTAGGGAACTCACTCTGGAAGGCAGTTGATTAGTCGTGCAGTAAATGCCACAAAAAAATTAAACCGCCCTGTCGGAATAAGGAGATGGTATTAAAGTAGGCCGGATAAGCCTCTGTGTCACCTGTTTGGGATATACTGTTACTGCCACCTGGTTACTACATTCTACTAAATGACCTGGTACCTTTTGCGGAGCGAGCCGAAAAAAACCAACCGCCTTAGGAACGAGATTGTCCAACTCTACAAATTTTCCAGGCAACTCGATGCTCCCAAGGGGCCCACACCAAGCTGTCAGGTTAGATCCGAGATACTAGTTGCCTCTTATAACCACGAAACTATTCCCAGTGGAATTCCAAACAATTTACCCTCTGCTCAGTTTTATATCCGAACTACCATTAGAACTAATAATCGCAGTCTGTATACAATGGAACAATCATTAAATAGGGATGAGAGACAGATATGAAATTCGCTTCAGAAACGAAATTGCCCAACTTTACAATTTATGCACCCTAAGGAGACAAGACCAAACAGCCAGGCTAGATCCGAACACCTAGACGGCACTGACAGGATTAGGTCCATTGTCGAAAATATTTACAGTAGAATTCCAAACAGCTCAGAATTGTTCACCATATAACCTCTGCTCAGTACTATAGCCAAAAGTACTACCATTAGAAGTAATAGTTGCAGGTTAACTTCCCACTTGAAAGAGGGAGATCTAATTCTTGGTGACCATTAAAAATATTAAATTTTACCGAAGTCCTTCTACACGAAGAAATTCTTCTATAGGGTTATTTTCAAACTTCTATTTCCTTTTACTTTTTTCAGTTTGGGGGTTCCGAAGCCATTATAACAGCTTTGAGTGATGAATTTCCCAAAATCGGACGAAATCGTGAAGTCTTTGTGGCTGGATTGTTTTCACTTTACTTCATTGTGGGTTTGGCCAGCTGTACACAAGGTGGCTTCTATTTCTTTCAACTATTAGATCGTTATGCCGCCGGCTATTCAATATTGGTTGCGGTATTCTTTGAGGCTATTGCGGTCTCGTGGATTTATGGTAAGTTGAAATTTATATTATTGTTTTTAATTTTTTTGTTTATTATTTTGAATTATTTATTCCAAAAAACAATCAGGAACAAATCGTTTCTGTGAGGACATACGTGATATGATCGGTTTCCGACCGGGTAAATATTGGCAAGTGTGTTGGCGTTTTGTGGCTCCCTTGTTCTTGTTGTTCATAACCGTTTATGGTTTGATTGGTTATGAACCGCTCTCCTATGAAGATTACACCTATCCACGGTGGGCAAATGCCTTGGGTTGGTGTATAGCCGGATCATCGGTTATGATGATACCCGCTGTGGCAATTTATAAACTATGCACCACACGTGGTACTCTCAAAGAACGTTTGCGTATCCTCACCACACCTTGGCGTGATCAACAGGTATCGGTAAATGGTGTAACAGCTGATGCAACGCAGGTTCGCCTAACCGATACCAAAGAAGCTGCAGAAGTTTGAAATCAACCATTTGCCAGATTTCAAATTTATTATGTATAGCATTTAAGGAAAAAACTCAAACAAAACCTATGTATTATTATTTGTTACAAATACTTAATATTTTTTGTAGAAAGAAATTGAAACAAAATCAAAAACAAAAATCTCCCCACCAATAAAATGAAAAGCTCAGAAAAAAACCCAACTCGATATGCAAAACTGTTTAGGGAATTAGTTGTTTAAGTAAACCTAATAAGATATTTAATTTTCAATAAAATATTTAACCAAATTTATTTTATATATATGCAGTAATATTTAGACAAAATAAAAGTTATAAGAAAATATAAACATTTTTTGTAAATGTAAGTAATTTAAAACAAAAAGTAATGCAAATTTCATATACAACGTACTTAGGTTTCTTATGAAAACGAATTGAATGAGAATTATAACAAACAAAGAAACAAAATAACTACATAATAAATATTGTAATAAAAATATATAAAAAATTCTAGATACTAACATAAAAGGGAATACATAAATATTAATATACATTTATTAGAAAATTAAATATTGTTGAATTGTTCAAATCATTACATACATAAAAAAATGCTGTGTAGATAATATTTAGTGTGAATTTAAGAGAATCGAAGTTAAAATACTAGGTAACTCAAAATAAATGGATAACATCTAGATATATTTAAAATCCCACTGAAATCATCAACATTTTGAGGATGAAATTGGTGGGTGTAAGAGCTGATACCTCTTAAATGAAAAAAAAAATATAGGCAAGTTTAAGTAGTTTCTACTCGAATTCCATGGCATAATAAATAGGTAGTCTATTTATCGCAGCTGACGTGTCGATTAACTGTAACTACTTGAATACTTTCATAAGCATTTATGGAAGCCATGTGGATACGAAAACTTCTAACAGACAGGAGTTTACGAGGATAACCAATAATTATCCAACAGAGGAAATATGT